ATAATATTTCTTTTATAATTTAATGTGTTTTTTTTTATAATTTTCTTTATAATATATAATTATAACTGTTGCGTCGATTACTTCACTCGACCTCTTCCTCGATATACCTTCTCTGAATAAAGTGAAATATATTTATACTTACGTACTTACTGTGGACGATTAATTATGTTTTATTGCTGTGTTTGCGTCCCGGAATAGAGCAATTTTCTCTTTCGGTGCAATGTTATCGTGACATTTTGCTGATGGTACATATGTTTGTACCGTCTTATAACCGAGAGACAATGAACGGGACAAACAAATAAAAATTACATTCACTACTTATTTGCCAATTATCGTCTTCGTACGCATGTTTTTCTTAATCTTAATAAAACTTTAATTTTTGCAATAATTTAGTAAGCCACGCGTTGTTGCGTCGATCTACGTCCATTCCTTTAATTAATTAATTTAATTAAAGTAATAATGCTACGAAAAGGGAATAATTACACTAATAAAAGTGCGCTTCGCATTTTTAGGGTGATTGAAATATTATTTTCGAATTAAATTCATCGCATTAATAGCATTCCATATACGTCCAAATTTAAAGCTTGTTCAGCCATCACTGATATGATTTACCGGCGGCGTAACGCCCCGTCGTGTCAAAGATTAAGCGTAGTCGATTATAAAGAAACAATCTCAATCCATAATAGGGACGCGATAGCGGGCAGGAAGTGGCCACCTGCGGCGATAGCAACACCGGCGGACGGTAGATAGCTCGGGTGGACTGATGCATGGCGGTAATGCGGAAACATATTAGACGCGCGGCTATGTGTGGGTGACATTCGCACCACAACCACGGGCCCGCAGTGCATTACTAATCGCGATGGAAATCATTAATATTGGTTATAACGTATTCACGGAATAATTCGCGCGAAGCACTAATTTCATCCCCTTTATTATAGTAAAGCTCTCTTTCCCACTTAAATACAGTAAGTATCCTTTTTCATCAAATTTTTTAAGAAATTTCTTGAGAGTACCTCTATAGAGTAGAGATATGTTGGACACATAGATTCTTGTTCAGTTTTCGTCTTTGTTTTCGAGCGGAGGGGGCGGGGAGTGTTCATAAGATACCCTGCCACCTCTCAAATGACAGCGTTATGAGGTTCGTACCCACTAAAACCCCTCGATTGCCACCTGTTTGTTGGCCTAGTCTATGAACCCAACGTCCCGTTTAATTCACCGTTTACGACAGGCAGGGGCCCTTACCTTAGTCCTATTCTATGAGCCCGGAACAACAGGGCTGCGGCGATGAACCTAGCTAGAACGGAAACCGACCCACAAATTTTTTGACATATTAATAAAAAACTAATAAAGCGACAACACCATCGTACACCTTTATGGTTGGCGGTCTACCACTGTGCGTTTTTCACGCCACTTTCTGTCCCGCACAGCTACCATGTGGAATAAGTTGGCGGCAGCGGTATTTCCGGACCGATACGACTTAGGGAGCTTCGAGAAGAGAGTCTATTCCTACCTTTAAGGTCGGCAAAGCTCTTGTGATTCCTCCGATGTTACCAGTGCCAATGAGCGGTTGTGATCGCTTACGCGTTTGCTCGTTTGCCCCCTTTTTTACATAAAAAACCGGTCAAGTGCGAGTCGCACTCGTACGCCCAAGGTTCAAAATTGGTAAATATACACCACGGATTTTTTCACGAACCAGTAAAATTTATACTGACGTCTATAGACCCTATTAGGTGTCTAAAAATCAAGGTCCTGTGTCGACACGATAAATAGGTATGGTCAAATTAGATTTTCGATTAAACCTGTAAGTAAATTTACATTAATTTTCAACGTTTTTGTTTTTTTTTTTCGTTTTATTTGTGCCGTAAGACTTTGCTTTTTGCAAAATAGGTTAACGGGAACTACCATATACGATTGACCCAGAATTGTCAATTTTGGTTCAAAATATGATACGTGCACTTCACGCCGGTGTTCATTGAAGCCTTGTTCCTTCCCCAAAGGAGCAACCCACCCGTGCAACAGCATAAGCCGGTACGTGGTCCTTCCACAATAAAAAGATAATATCCCTAACCTAACTTAACCCATATATAGTATTAGTTCTTCGACATTGTTCATCTGAAAATATTACGCGAGTTAAATCGTACGAAACGGAGATTAATTGTTGCGAGTTTCGCAAATCTCCCTTAAATCCTCCCACGCGTCCTTAGTAGGGGACTAAGCGTTACGTGTCGACGTGATAGTCGCCATTTTAAACAGCGTGCAAAGTATGCGAGGGTGACACCTGAAGGTAAAAGTTATACCCACTTCGGTGTACGATACTATAATGAGAAATCCTTTAGGTTGTCTGGCTCAAACGTTTTATACCGATTTTTATACACAATATAAAAAATGTTACGCTAAAGTGAATTTAATTTTAATAATTAACTTTTAAGTTAATACTTTTTTGTGTGTTTGTGTCAATTTGTTTAATGAATTCTAATAATTTATAAATATATTTTTAATTCTAATATATCTAATTCCTTAATATCTTACATATTCATAATCGTTTACGGAACATGAAAAGGTAAAAAAGGCGCAGTACTCAAATATGTTGTCATATTATTCCTCTCAACTGACATGACTCCTCATAACTGATAACAACCGCAATACAGTAGCAACAGATTTTATTATCAAATTCAACCACAAAATTACTTCGATAAAATTAGAAGAAAAAAACATTAATTGTCACTAGTCAAATAACTTAAACATACTTTAGTAAATGAGTGCAAGTTAACCAATTTAGGTTGGCGATAGAAGAACCATTAAATTTTTTCGTCCCAAACTAAGCGCTATGGGTACTAGATAGCTAATAAACATACTTGAACATACTTTTTCTTTTGTAAATAAATACATATTATACATATATAAAGTTGTATTGCATTTGTCTATGGTAAAAAGTAACTGTGAGCTTCTATTACCTACTCTACTGTAATAGAGTAACGATGAACTGCTCTCGCCTCACGAATACGAGGTAACAGAAGCCACAAATTCATAGCGGCTTGTGATACGCCGGCGACAACTCTACTGCGGTATACGCTTACCTTCAGCCTCCCTTTGAAACAAAAGGTAGCAATATGTCCGAAAGCTTTGCCTCCTTTACCCAGTATCTTGAAAGACGCATAGCACGTCATACGTCGGGAAATTATACAAGTATTTTTTTTTATTAACGAAAAACAAAACCGACTTGAAATATCTCTCTCTATATTCATTTTATATTTGATTTTCAGAAGTTCCCTACGTATCTCCGGAGCTAAAGATCCAATACAAGTGAAATTAATACGGATCTACGTGGGAAGCACCAGCTTTCAAATAAAAAAAAGAATCATAAAAATTGGTTCAATCAGTACAAAGTTGTGAGGAAACAAACCTTAAAAAAATATAGTCGAATCGAGAACCTCCTCCGTTTTTTAAAGTCAGTTGAAAATAAGAGTTGAATTCTAAATATATATATTTAAATAGATTCCAAGCGAATCCCAAAAACTGGACACAATTAAGAGTAACGCATAAAACTCGACCAATTTACGTTTAATCATCGACATACAGTACCGCTGGGGCGTTGTTGTCTCCTTCGCGAGAACAATACAGCGTAAACAGGTTGAATACGTTTGCCTTTTGAAAAATATAAAATATCATACGTATCCCACAGACAATGGGAACACCTGGCGAAGGCAGCGTACAATACGCCTAAAACTGGGGCAATTATATGGACGATCATCAAGTCCACCCTGAATGGTGTGGGTCGGGTTGCAATTTATAAAAATGACAAAAAAAATACGACACAATACGGTCGGCAGGCGTGAACATCGTCCACGGAACGTGATTAAAAATAAAACAGTACGAACAAACGCATGTCGAAATGAGGAAACCCTTCTGAACAGAGTATTGGACCTTTTATTAACACCCTTCATAACCATTTCATAACCTTCCTAAGGACCTGTTAAAAAATCAATGAAATTACGTGTTAGTTGTTCATTTTAACAGGCTCCTTGAAACTACTTACCGCATCAAAAAAAAAAAAATAATTAAAATAATAAAAAATATTACTATTCAACTACTAACAACTTCAAAACTATCCTATTCAAGATTCGATTAGAAGATGAATACAGTATCCAAGGATAGCATAAAAATGTAATATAACAGCCTATATTTTAGCCACTGCTGGATAAGACCCTACAGAGATACTGTTAGGGCACAGGATTGACAGATTTTTTATATTAGGTGGTAAACGAGCTTGTGGTTCACCTGATGTTAAGTGATAACCGCCGCCAATAGACATGTGCAGCATAGGGTTTCAGATGTGTTGCGTAGACTGTTGCGTGTTTTATAAAATACTAGCGACTCGCCCCAGGCGGCTATATGCAATATATTATACAAAAACCTTACCTTTGAATCACTCTATCTCGTAAAAAAACCGCATCTAGGTGCGTTGCGTAGTTTTAAAGATCTAAGCATACATAGGGACAGACAGACTGTGACAAATTTGTTTTATAATATGTAGTATCTAAATGATGTCAGTAGTTACATAACCTCGCTTCGTTAATGCTCTATGTACATATACACGGAAGATCTCAATTGGTGATTGTGGCTAGGCTAGAAAACTGGTAGCAATCAACAGTGACCTTCCCCTTTTTTATTTCTTACATATGAAAGTGTCTCCCTCACACAAGCGACAAAGGCTGCAGCGCCGCTTCCCATCAGATGGGATGGCAGTCAAGTGCATGCCAGTTTTTAATTTAAAACAAAACATTTGCTTAACGAGATGCGACTATCACGTCTTCCTAGGCGGTTTGAATAGTCGTTATGAAAAGTAAATGAGACAAGTTGAAGCTCCCAACAAAAAAAACAACAAGATAATTAAGAATTATCTTGTTATTATTCGCGTCACGTATTTTATGCGTCACCTGTACTGGGACCCAGAATAACGATTATAACATGTTATAAAACATAGCTTCAACCTGTCGCTGATGGCCAACCAGACGAGCACGGAGCGGTTATTGTCCCCGGCGCGTGACTTCCATATAGCAGACGTTTTCGATTCCGCCCGTCCGTCGGTTAGTCGGTATCGCGTGAAAAACGCGTCACGGGGCAACACAAAGCATTCAATTTTCGCCAAACCGTCGGCGGATAAGCCGCCCGCTAACAGCCCGCCGCGACCCACAAAGCCTCCTGATTACCGGCGCCTAGCACCTCCTCATTATCTCCCGCCCGCCCTGTTTACTTTTGCCAGATAAAGATTAGCCGGAGTGCGGCGCCATTGGCGGCGCGGGCCGTGGGGTTGTGGTGGGCGGGGCCCGGGGGCGAAACCGCCCTCGCGGCGCCGCGACGCTGCGAGTATGCGGCCGGCGCCATGGGCACCGCACGTCTGAACAGTATGCGAGCGCTCAAAGCCTGATCCCGCGCCATGCTCGATATCAAAGGGTCCGCCGACTACCTCAGTCGGTCAGGCACCTTCACCAACTTCTCTATGCTGTTCGCCGGTGAATATCACATTTGTAACGTGCCCTGTTATTATGTATCGCGTGTCGTGGTGTTCAGTGTGCGTGATGTGCGGTGTACAGGTTAACGTTATTCCGCGTAGGCGGAATTACGTCCGCATTTACCCCGTAATGGCGTCGATTATTATGCTCTAAGCCTTGCCCTTAACCATTGTTTAATGTACCGACATACCGTACACAAAGTATCGTAAGTACAGCACGCTGAAAATACACTACACGTTAGAAAATTATTGCATATAAAAATGTTATTGTTTGCATTTCTACATTAATGACTACATGTCTTTTTTACGATCACTCACGAGTGGCCCATTTAGTTCTGCAAAGGCACATACAATTCTTTTTCAGAATAAAACGTGACATACGAGATCTGCTTAACAATGAATCACACATCATATAATTTAGTGCCTTTCTATTTTATTCTATAACACTAGGTACTTTTAAAAAAACATAGATAAGTTTAAAAAAAATAGATTTCACGTAGACACATACTTATTTTAGGGCAGAACTAAATGAAGATTGGCAGGGAGAGGCTAGTAAGACGTGAGAATATTTCTTGAAACTGGTAATATATGTGACTTCTGTAGAACACATTAAATTTATAATGATCATTTGTAACAGAACAAGTTAATTAAATATCCTCAGTGGAAATGACTTCAACGCGACGCTTGTAACGTTACCAAGGCACTTAGTTTCCTGTTTCTTGACGATAATTACAACAAATTGTAATCGATCACATTATAACTATTTTTTTAATTCAATACATTACTATTTTTGGCCTGTCGAAAAAACCTAATTATTATTAAACAACAAAATAAGTGTTATGTAATAAGTTTTTAACTAGCGATGTCAAACAAGATGGGTAAGTTTTCTCGCAAATGCTTAATAACACATTCCAATTGGCTTGACACGAATAAGATCTTTCAGTTTAGGAAGCAGTCGCAGAAACATTTAATTTAGGAGTACCGCTGTTGATGTGATGGGACATCACTTGGACGATAAACGTAGCATTGTCCGAAATAAATCTACAATACGACTAATCATCTAAAATAACAAGTTCCACAAGCTTTAAACTACTTCAGTTGCATCGAACGGTATTTGAACTGGCACGAAATTAAAAAAAAAATGGTCAATACAAAAAAATGAAGCACCAATTAAGCTTTGAATCCAACAGTCCTTTCGTTATTTCTAAACCACAGCAAAATAACGCCCCTCAACTTTTCTATTCTTTTCTCGCTTATTCAAGTGATCTGCTACTTCTGGTTTCGATTGATTCAACTAAATTCACCCTTTGTACCATTTATTTTAACTGAAATAATTTACATATGATTTGTTCCACCGTTTCATCATTATATTTTTCGTGATTTACTTCGAATTATTATAAAGACCACGATATGTACATTAATGATTCGTTGACATTTTTACCCATTTATTCATTTACAGTTATCCATATTTTTTTTTGCTTTTTATTTTGTTAAGATTATGTATTTGTGTACTTTTGTGACTTTAGGTCTGTGGGGTCCCTGTGGATAGAAATTTTTGAAAGTTTTACGTCTTAGGATAACGCTGAGGCTTGTGACACGGCAATTAGTTCTTTTCTCAATCAAAAATAAGCAATACGTTTCAGTGGGGGAATGCAGCTAGCGTGGGCACCATGCCGCGTGGGCACCATGCCGTGTGGACTAGGCTTATTAGATAAAATGCAATTTAGGTATATTTAATATTTTAAGTATTGTAATTCATAAAACATGTCGTTTTTATTCTATATGTTTACGTAAAGTATAAAAAAAATTAAATTGAAGTTATTTTTACGTAAAAATAACACCAGTGGTGGGGGCGGCAGAATAAGATTACTATACGAAGTTGGATCCTACCTTGATTTACAAATTAAGTCTGAAGTTGTGATATTTCCATTATTTTAAATTGATATTGTGTAAACAAATCGTAATTTATATATAAATTTTACACACATTTAGTTACATATCCGCATTTTGTTCTACACTTTTCAATGTCCGTTTAGCGGAGGTTTGCGTACCTCACGAATTGTGGCACTTCTAACAATGTATCATATTATCGAACATAGAGCTTCATACAGTCGAACGTATTGTTATAAAATGCATATACTAGCAAGTACGTAATAAAATAGTATTTAAGTTTTAAACTCAATAGTTCATATACTTCTAATAACTCTGTAAGAAAGTTTAGAGTTTGAATCAGTTCATCATAAAAACAATATCTCCTTTATTGATAAGCTTTACATATACAAGAAAAGCCTTAGCTTAAAGCCTCAAACTTATCAGCATTTACGTCGCCGCATCCCAAGCGTAAAAACATAAGGGCGTAACAGCCGGGTGCTGCCGCGGCCGACGGTAAAGCCTCTCAAACCCTCTCGGCTGACGTCGCTTCTACAAAGCCGTAACGAGCCACGAGACTCTTCATCTTTTAATTGCTAACTCTTTCACGCCTATTTAAAATTCGCCAGCCGTCGCCTTTCGCGCTCTGCACGGCGGAAAGGTGTTGAAATACATGGATGCCTCTTAGACGTCCCTTGGTACGTGTACATAAAAACGTATCACGTTTCCGCATACCGCGTGCCACTAAATAGTTACTTCAAGAAGTCAGCCTTTTTAAATTACGATTTAAGAGAATTAAGAAATTTGAATTTGAATTAAGAATTAAGATCGTACAGTTTGTAAGAAAAAATGGCGCTTATCCACACCGTGTTGTACGATTAATTATTACTCTCTTTAGATAGTATAGTATAGTAGAGACAGAACTTAGAGAGTAGATGATTAAAATAATGTGAAACTAACAGCCTATACAAAGGCCTCTGTAAAGTGTTTAGACCGTAGTATAAGCCACGCGACCACATCACGGATTAGTAGACTTCATGCAAGTTTCCTCATGATGTTTCCCTTCACCGCTGAGTAAGTGAGTGTGAGTGAGTGTGAGTGAGTGTAAGTCAACATTTAAAATTGCAAACAACAATTTCTTTCGTGCCGGCACTGAGAATTTTTTTTTATTTCACACAAAATCATTTGAACACGGATTATCACAATATATTAAATTAAAATCGTCCGGATATCGAGCTATCACGGTAAGAAGCACAGATTATTAGTACAGATGATTACAGATTATTTATTTTCAAGAAAATAACGGTAATTTATGACGCGTCGTTTTTTTTTTTGTTTCCCGGTTTAGCCCAATTATTAATACTCGCGAATATTAATTATTGTCAATAGGAATGTCAAACATGGTAATTTTTAAAATTTAAATATGTATCTACTAACTACAAACTACAAACCGAGCGAGGCTATAAACCAAGCCGTCGCGGTCCACTTACCTTAACCAGAATGATAACCTTAATGATCAGAATCAAGAGCTTAACCATCCTTTTGGCAACTCAAATGACATTTGAAAAGCCATTTCACAGCTGATTAGTTAACATCTACGATGATCGGTGTTTCAGCAACCGGGCGTGAGTCTCACTTGTCAAGATATCTTTTTTACATTTTCTTTTTATTTATTAGTAGTGAACACTCTTTTTCATGGTCATTTTTCACCAGCTGGTTGCATAATGGTTTATCTATTAATAAAAATGTAACACAATTAATATTAACATATCAGTCAATCGAGATAACTCATACTAGGAATGTTTATTTTATTGGAAGGAGATCCTCCTGATAGTTTTCTGTTTCATTTTAATTTTCTTTAACGTTAATTACTTTTTCGTCAGTTCTGTTTATGACACCCAGCTATATTTTTTTAATGTTGCCAAGCGAGCAGACGGTTCACCTGATGTTAAGTGAACACCGCCGCCCATGGACATCTACACCCGAGGGTGGCAGATGCGTTGACATCCTCTTGAAGATTGGGCTCCTGCTACCTCACTCACCAGACGAGACGCGAAAGTATTTGTTATTCTTCTCTATACGCCGGTCTTCTGTAAGGTCGTGGGACTTACCCGGTTGAGCCTGCCCATTCGGCAACAGCCCAGGCTGCTGCGTGGCCCTCCCACATTTAATTAATAATTTCATGATTTAAAACAATTTTAAATTTTTTTTAATCTTCGTACTAAAAATCCATCGCCGCCGCCATATGGGCGCCTTTTTCTATTGGTATAATGATTTCATGTTAATTAACATATTATTAAAATATATTTAATACGTGCAGTTTCAAGTATCATTTTTCATAATAAGATATTGATAAGAAATTGATTGATGAACATATTCAATTAATTATTACATACAGTTTTAGCCAGATTCAATATGAGTTTTATAAACATTTTCTTATAAGGATGCATACGTTTTGTGTTTGAAATAAACGTACCTAAAAGGTTCTTAAAAATCTTTAAAAGATTAAAAGTGTAAATTTTGTTAAACTGATTATAACTGTTCAATATCTTTAAAAACGGAGCTTGAACCGTTTCGTTTTAAATTAATATAATTAATCCCTTTTTAAAAGCTAGTTTTTCGAACCAGAATCATTTCATTCCAAATTATAGACGGACAATTCAATTTTATTGATTGTTTGAAATATATAACATAGACCATTTATTTATCTAATTAATGATGCAGACACGATATACCACTCAGAGCACCCGCCGAGTCCTAACATTATGAATATCTCCGATACAGCTGTACGAAGTCAATGAAAAGTGACCGTTTTTATTCAATGCCTGTTCACTATATAGTCCATACTAATAATATAAATACGAAAGTATCTCTGTCTGTCTGTGTGTCTCGCTTTACGCCAAAACTACTGAACCGATTTAAATGAAATTTGATACACAGATAGACCTCGGAAAGGACGTAGGCTATTTTTTAATTGGATTTTTTTAAGAAAGATATTTACAGAAATAAGCGGCGGGACACTTACAGGTATAATATGAAGATAGATAAGCGAGCGAAAGGCTCGTATCATATAAGTGTGTTAAAACAGTTTTGAAATTAAATTTTGATAGCGGCCGGGACCGCTCGTTATTCGCGGCTTACAATAGGACTGTTCCGAGAAAAAATATGTCTAGGATGGATAACATTGTGCCCGCATAGCGTGACGGTACGGGCACTTTTAAGGCCGTGCGTTTCCTCGGCGGAGTCACGGGCCAAACCGCCCCCAGCCCCAGCGAGGGGCTGCAGTGACCCCGGCTCAGCACCGCAGGGCAGAATTAGGGTGTGCCTACTGATTGCGCGAAAATTGTTTAACAATTTACTACCCGATTATCGGTGATCGTTAGAGCCGTTTCGTTGTCGCTTCACTTCTCTTGATGAGTCATATTGATCTCGCGTATTTCTTATACATCGTATTGAATTCAGTTGTATTATTTTCCATTTCATAATCGGGCCCGTCGTTGGAGAGTAGGAAGGCAGAACAATTTGTTATTTTTCCAGGTTCTTAACACATTCAAATTGCCTCGCTATCTTAATTTTTTAACTGTATTATTATACGAATAACATACACATGTACAACATACGACATGTAAAATCAAAATTTATGCCCCATTTTAGTATTATTTAGATGTGATTTTAGAGTATATTCTAAATTTACCTAATAACTATTAATAATTACCTATTAACTACTATTACTTGGTTAAATGAAACTATTATACTGATTTCGTTGCGTTATTCAGGAAGTTTCGAACAATTTAACATTGCGTCACCAACGGACCTCAATCCTTTTAACCTCTTTTTTATTGAATACTAAGTGGTCAATTACTTTGACCCTACAAAATGTTTTTTTCTTATATTAAGAACCATACACAAAGACAAAGATTCTAGTGCTTAAGTAAAATCTTATCCTTTAAACGAGCAATTCTTGTATATATATCAGTAAATTTCACCGCTAAAAAAATTTTATAATAGCTCGGTCGGTAATCGGGCGGCCCCAAAACAGACGACCGCGGTTCATATCACACACTTATTTTTTTACTTTTTTTTGCTTGAAGTACTGATCTGGTACTGGTTTTCTTTATTTTTTATTTCCAAAATACATAATTTACCAAAAAAAAACCAGTCCTCCAGGTACTTTTTATTTAATTGTGAAACAGATGTGATTAGTTTGCGATTGTTCTATAATTAAAGCCCTATTATTTGTTTTTCTTTTGCGCAACATCCACATGCATTGTAACAAAAGAAGAATTTGTCATTGTTTCTTTAAAATAATATATTTAATTACATATTCACAATCTACACCATTTCTATCTTAATTTACTTAATTGACGAATCCTGTACTTATAGCGACTTACTTATTTTTGTAGTATATTACGTAGTAGTTATTTTAATAATATGTTAGTACAGGAAAGTCGCTGTGAATACAAGTTTTTAAGACCACTAAATCAAAATCAAAAATTTGAATCCTGTACAACAAATGGTAAAATATTTTATTCCCTAATTAGTAATGGTAATTGTGTTTAATGAGGCGATTTGTGATGAAAATATTTTAATAGCTCATATTTTGGAAACTTCCAGAAGGCACTGTTACCCCTCACATGATTTCATATTAGTATGAATATGAAATCATGATTTAAGATGTTTACGCCGTACACGAGTTATGTCAGGACATGGTCAAGTGGACTACAACCCATTGATTATTTTTTTTACTTCCAGATGCATCTTACAAGAGTTCTTGGTCTACACACGCTTCATCACAAGGTTCACAAGGTGAGTAGTTCAATAATTGAGTGGGCTTTAAAAAATCCTTACTTAATATTATAAAGGCGAAAGTTTATATGAATGGATGGATGTTTGTTACTCTTTCACGCAAATAGTACTGAATGAATTTTGATGAAACTTTACAATAATATAATATATAAGTCATGTTGTTAAGAATGTTACGCCTTGAGCCCATTCTACATTTTCAGCAGCTAGTATCTCATATAAGACTATTTATTACCAAGGTTTAAATTTTCACACTTGTCTATTTGACGTCTTCTTTTAGCCATATAACGTTTATTTTAAGTGAATCCATTTTCTTACGTTTCGTTATCTACCTTATTGTTATAGGTTGGTCTTGTAGGTCTCAGTTGTGCTTTAAGCAAACCTCGTGAAAAATTGAGAGGTAAATACAATTAAAATTTTCTCAACTGAAAATTTACTCTTCTTACACCGGTACGAAATTAAACAAATAGAATATAATTTAAAAAGTAACATGCCCAACAGCGTTTCTGTGTACTTTTTTTTATTTTGATATACCCAGTGTCACTCTCACAGTAGGTAAATACGAATCTATAGACACCTTTCAATCTAAAATCCATCAAGCCAGGCTACAGAGCGTACCAAACAATTACACATACATACATACTCTCGAAAAACATAACCCTCCCTCTGGCGCAATCGGGTAAAAACTTGACGCTTTTTGTTCCTCACCTTGTATGGACTAAAAAAATTCTGTTCTGGATAAAAAATTTGAACCAACTCTGAGCATCACCATCTGCACCATAACTTAAAATTCATATTGGTGTTGGGTGTCTGTTGACGGACAGTTTAAACTATGTTTTAAGTTTAAGGGATGCTTTAACAATCTTTTTTCGTACGTAGCGTAGTGTACCTTATTTGTAGACATGGCCGTGACCGAGTGAGCATCAACTGTGAATAACAGTGGCAAAAAGTCAAAGCTTATTGGCTAAAGCGTCAGGCCGCGAATGCCGAAGACGTGGGTTCGATTCCCACAGTGGCGACTATCTTTTTAAGTTTTCTTAAGTGCAGAAATTACCACTGTATAAATAATTAAATTTACTTCCGGAGTTGTTCGAAAATATACAATCCGTTGGTTTGATTAAACAAAACTGCAGGGCCCTAATCCGCAAAAGCGACATACAACGGATTGTCCTGTTGTCTACTTGAGCCTGCTGGTATCAACTTACACCCTTAAATAACAATACCCCATGATGTGACCACTCGACTGATCCAGATTTCAAGAAGGCAGTTATCCAAAATAGTAAATTGATAGACTCCGAATATTTCATTATGACGGCTGTGACTTTTTCTGAATCCTTAAAAATTAATGTAGATATACGACTTCGGCTATTGATTAAATATTAAAGATTTTAGATAAAATATCATCTCGTGTCACTCATGTGATGTTACTGAGGAACTTTTGTCAGCAGTTTGTCTATTTGTTAACGCTATTGGTTCGATAACTTACGAAAATTTGTTTCTGAACAACGCCTCATAAGATAAACTCCGTTGAAACTTATTTTAATATGACAAATGAGTGCCGTTTATCGGTTAGTAATAACACCTTTTAGAACTACAACTTTTAAAGTTACAACGTAAAATAACAACTTTTAAAGTAGAACTACAACTTTTAGATCAATTTGTGTTATTATTGAAATAAATTACCGGTGAGACCTATGCATTAAAATGCTTCAAAGGAAAAATATTTCTTCGCCTCTACAGCGCTCCCATCCGTCTTTTGTTGTCGAATATAAATATGAAGTCCTTGGCTACTGCGATAAGAAACATCAAAATTTTTACTACTTTTTACAAAGTGCAATCACAAACAGTATTGAGTTTTTTAAAGAATGTTTAAAGAAACGATAGCCAAAATCATTTAACTAAACTCATTATTAAAAGAAACTGAATACCTATTACCTCGCCCAATACAAAACTAAGTCATCGATAGAACATTTTTTTTTTTTGGGCTGGATGAGCCACTGTTGGCCTTAGGCCAACAGTGGCTCATCCACCGGCGGCCTTTACAGATCCGACGGGCATGAGGTGGCCGGACGCTCGGGGCGCCTAGCCTGAACCTCGGCGCCGATAAAACAATGAGATAACAGCTTTTGACGTTTTTATTTCACAATGATGTTGTCGATACATTCGCTAATAATTAACGAACATTATCAAACAACAAGTAACTAACTGGAGTTACTCGAAAAAATATCATCATAATTTAAAATAAAGAACAAATATTATTAATTTCAAATCAATCTAATTTTTAACTTAATGAATTAAACAAGCCCATCTAGAACTTATCGGTCCCATAGTTATTGAATGGTTTGTTGAGAATTCAGAAGTGCAATGATAATGAATCGAAGTTTAAATGACATAACTTTACAGAACTAATCTGAGAATTGCCGAGAACTTTAGAAATCGGGCATTAATTGCAATACGCCAAATGAACCGCGCACTTCATTGCTTTGTTTTTACTAACTTGTCGAACATACGGACGAACTTGTTCCACACACAAAGCGGATCAATACCGATGGTATTTGCGACGCGAGAATTGCTGAGATTTATAAACTTTTGCCTAAAAGTTACACGCGTTTTACGCCTCGGAACGAAAACAATGGACCCCCCAAAATGGCGCGCGCGGAAAGGGAGCGGGCGTCGGCCGCGCGTACGCCACGCGCCTCGCCCGGCGCCACAATGCAAACTTAATTCTTTGATTGACAGTTACAATATTTCGGTAAGTGATGCAATATTTTGATGATTATCGCTACGCGTAGCAGCGAGCCCCGCGGGGGAGCATTATCGCTTAGCACGCTTCGATGCCGCGTCCCATAGCGGCCGTTCCGAGCGCTGCAGACTCCATTTGTCCGAAGTGAAATTGTTATAATAAATCTTGGCGCTAATTTGCTAAGGGTAGTGTGCGAGCACCGTTTGGACGGAAGCCCGATTTTTAGTCTCTTAACAAACTCTATAAACTCTTTCTCTACAACCAGCTGCCAATATAAATATGAATACGGGATTTTTTTTTTGGGCAAAAGTTACAAACGCGTTTGAGGCTCACCTGATGGTAAGTGATTACTGCCGCCCATGAACACCTGCACAAACGCCAAATCTTTGGCAATGCATTTGTAAGCCCTCGGGAAACCAACTGATGTCGCTTCAAACTGCAACTTGTTGTAACCGATGGACTTAATGTATGATATCTGTTTCGTGACACGTCTAATTGCAAAGGTAACTCGGAACAAATGGAAATGTACTTATAGTTGTAAGTTTGTGGAATTCCAACCCGTATTAGCTGAAATACTGTCAGGCAGTGGATTGAATTTTTACGTTTAATCATATTATATTTTTTTACCACTCAATTTGTTATCTACACTTAGAATAGATATTTATTTATAACTTAGAATAGATATTTAATGAAAACTAATGGTATGTATGTATGAAGTTAATAGAGCTATAGAAGAACACTATATAAATTTAACAGCTCATTTGGAAAGAGGTTAGTTTTGTGGGTCACCCGATTTCTTCAACAGACAACCAATGCATTTGATAGAACATTTCAGAAACTAATAGAGTATGGCGAAATTGGACACAACCCTTAGAAAACTCTCGCGCACCTCGCATATTTGGCCATAATCTTGTTAAATTAGATCATGTGATTGCTGTCCTAGCTAACATTATACGCATTAGCTTATAAATAAAATCGTTATGTTTTTTTTATATAATTTTCAGAAAATATACAAAAAGGCCATGATAGCTCACTATCCGAGCGCTCACTTTTAATTCAATATACTCGAGCAACCTCAGTTCGATCCCCGGTGTGGTACATAGTAAGTTATTAATTTTGAGTGCTAATTTATTACGTTCCCAGCGTCGAAAAAAAAACATCATGGTAAATCCTTCACGTTCGAAACCATAAAGAAAAAATTTTTTCGAAGATGTGTGAAGTCCGCCAATTCGCAGTGGGGCCGCGTGGTTGACTATGCCCTGTTACCCCCTATACAGGAGTCCTTTGCCCATCAGTGGGGCATGTGTAAACTGTTACTTGACTTTACTTACATAAACTTTGACCACCTCGTCACGGTTACAAATTAAATTTTTACAATAACTTTGAAACCAAAAAATTACCCAATTTTAATTAGCGAATATACCGGGTACGGCCAAAGCATTAACTTATAGTTAATGTACCGTTGACAGATGATAGTTAAACAAAAACATAAGCCCGGTATCGCTCCCAAGAGAGCGTGGCGTCAGCCCGTGACGGCACACAGTCCCTCGACGATGTTTACCCGCCCAGGGGTCCTATTATAATCACTGCTGCGATACAAATATATATCCGTGATGAAAACTATAGTTGATCCCTCTTTTTATACTCTAATGATATTTATAAAACACTAGCGACCCGCAATGTATTGTACATATAAACCTTCCTCCTAAATCAGTCTATCTAGTAAAAAAAAACCGCATAAAGATCCGTTGCGTAGTTTTAAAGATTTAAGCATACATAGGGACAGACAGGCAGCGGGACGACTTTGTTTTATTCTATGTAATGATTAAGTGACAATTAAATTCATATTGGTTGATATCGTCTATTGGATTCAATCTTTTCGTTTGTATTATAATTGAGTGTTTTCCTAATTTGTATTTGTTTCTAGAATTATGACGCAGCTGATTTTTCAAGATAATAAACAATTTATGTAACAAAATATTTAATTTGAGATTGTTTTTAAAGATTTAGCTTTGTGTCCAAAAAAAATTATTTTCGCGCGTGTATTCCAAGAGAAATTTTGTTATTAATTATACAGTAACTTAATGGAGTGTTTGAAACAGCCGTAACTAGTCGATCATATTTTATCGAGAGATCACATAATACAACCCCAGAGCGGAGCCCTCGCCTTTTCGCCCCTGCGACTTTGCCTATAAATAATCAAAGTACAAGTTTATTTAAACATAACGACTTTAATTAACTGAGATTTGTTAGGTGACGCCCATAATGAGTTTTTTATTCGGGTTTCGTAGTTATAATGAATGTCTTAACAATGCCAACATTAATGAATAAATATGAATCTTAGGATTGAAGAACATTGCGCGCTTAAAGCTAATCGTAATATTATAGCAAAACTGCACAATTAATTATTAACCGTTTCCGGACAGTCTGGTAGCATACCATTAACATCGTTCTAAGAATAAAAAGTTTGTGTTATTTCACGGAATACCTTTTATAAATAGATTCATTCTAGGAAAAATGTAAATTTCGACCCCACAGAGTTTATGCGTGTTTAAATCGAAGGCTCAGTTTCGGTTGCGTTAAATATAACAAGTTATTGAAATGAGTAAAATAAAAAGACATTTGCAACGGACTAATAAAGCCCCGTTCCATTGCACGAAAGCGGCGCGACCCAAAAATAAACCTATATTTTCGAGCGCAAACCGCCCGAGAGGCGGTGGAGCTGGCGGCGGCTTCGAAAATTACCCAAAAGTGGCCTCCGCCGCCGACCTCCTCACTCTTACGTGGAATGCAATCAGTGGAAGCGGGACGGGTGCGGGGGAAAACCGCTTCAGGCATTTGGAGAAGCAGTAAGCGTCCCCATTGTTTTGCGTGCTTCGAAGCGTGAACCTTCTATACATATAGAGCCGGAGCTGTATGAAAAATAAATTCGAAATGAAATCGTTCATGACGGCGGGGTCACTCGTTTTCCTTCCACGCTGACGCGGTAAATGATATGACGATACATTTATTTTAACGTCTGACATTGATAGGTTTCATTCTTCGCCTTCTAACAGCATACATGCCGTTTTTGAAGTCTCACGCACATATTTAGAGGTTGTTAACTCACATGAACCGTATTGAACCTTCATGTTCCTAATATGCCTGTTTTATTTAAACAATAACTTATACAAGCAAGATATATTGCTCTTCTACGGTAAAGGGAAACCAGTCGAGCTTGCCCAGCTAATCCTCAAAGTCTAAGCCAAAATATTTTTTTTTATTCAATATAGGCTTATTTTAAGCTCTTAATGTCATCAAAAACTACCACCGATTCATTAAACTTGACCTGCCAGATATGAACCGGCAAGAAACTCTTCGGTCTTATATTTTTTCTTTGACTTATTTAAGTATATACACAAAAGTATTTAAGTATAAAATTAGCAGGAGCCAGGGGACTTGCAAGTGTAGATCAAGAGTCATTTAGACATATCCGTGTTCTAAATGTATTCCTCGATATTATAATAGACCTTTTCCATTAAGGTTGCTTTTAGAAAATGTTTGAAATTGTTGACACTATTGTTTGTGGATGTCACCTATTCTATTATATAAGTTACTACATCTACCAAGAAATAGAAATCCTGTAAGAGATAATAATAAACTTAGGCGATAAAATTAGGAAAGAAACTCATTATCAATATTGACTTGACGTGTTCCGCGTGTTGAGCACTCTTCGTGCTTATGTTATTAATAAAATTGTACTTAAATAAAATATTAGAAAATAGCCTCTGCTGCTTATTTTAAAAGCATAGAAGGCTATTAATTAATAAACCTAGTCCATTCTGTCCAGTTTCAGTAACTAAACATCGTCGTTTCCGTAACGGTTACCTTGTCCCAATTTGAGTAGTATACATGTGTACATACGGTTTTGCAGCGATATTTTCGTATGTGGCAGTATCAAATAATCAAAAATCATACTCCGACAAATCTTTTGAATTTTCTCAACCATCAGCTCGAAATAATCACGTGTAACGTTCGGAAAAACCGTGACGTAATTACCGTCGTACATTGCGCCGCCTCGGGGGATGATCCGACATGGCCGCCGGCTGTCATCGGTGGCGGCGCGCGGCCGCCTTGCGCAAACAGTTTTTGAACCGGGAGCCTTTGATCTGTCGCGGCTGGATATCTCGTATGCGCGCCGGCGGCCAATTTACACGCTCTCCTAACTCGGGCCTTGTTCCGAACTGTCATAATCCAACCGCAGCGTGCCGCGACGCCCCCAGAAGTGTTGGAATTAGTTTTAAAGCGGCCGGTGGAATTGAATTCGGCGGCGTTCACAAACGAGATGGGATTTACGAACACTCCGCGTGGTAATAATTGAATAAGTGGCTGTTCAACTCATGTTCAACGGAATATCCATACTATTAACTCTGTCTGTCTGTTTCGCTTTCAAGCCAAAACTACCGAACCGATTTAAATGAATTTTGGTACACAAATAGTCTATAACCTGAGAAAGGAAATATATATTTTAAATAATAAATAATTATATATTTTAAAGACAGATATTTATTTAAGGGCTTCAACGCGCCCTTAAATAAATATCTGTCTTTATATATACATGAATACTAGTCGTATTTATATGTACATATCCTATACATTTCGCAAACAGAACCATGTTCACCTACAATTCGTTTAATTATTTAATTTGTTGTCCTTGCGGTGGACTGAATGATTTTCTGTTAATTTGGATACCACGATCGCTTTACCACACACAAAATTTCTTTGCTTCAATATCGGTTCCTCACACAAGTAGAAAATATTTTATTTTGTACTGTTAGACACAACGACGTTATACGAAATTTATTTATTTAAACTTGTCTGAATTTTCATAGTAGGTACAGTCGCTATATGTCCCACTGTTGGCTTCTCTTAGGAACGGAGATTAATAGGACAGAGTCCATCAAGCGACCCGATCGAGGAATGACGGACGTTAATCATTGAAATTTTTTTTGTTATTATTTCGAAAATTTACAGGGTTCATCTCAATGACCGCTGAGCACATGACAACTCAGCGCTCAAAATTAATTATTTCATTGGTGCCGGCACCGGAATTTGAATTTGACGCCGGGACACTGAGCCGTCACGGCTATTTTCATAATTCATATTTATTTACTTTATTAAACAAAAATTATTCACAACTATTCACGAAACAGGGTATGAATAAATCCGCGGGATGTTCAGTTAGAGCACAATACGAGGACGCTGGGCATCTTAGAAGACTCGTATAGCGATCCTTACGTTCCATTCAAGATATGTTAGACAACAAAACTATCGAATGTCACATGATTGATGCTATATTGGACTAGTGTGCATTTCAAGGGACACTACAAACACGACAACTATCGCGCTCGTGTAGGAAAACCGAAATATTGCTTACAAAGTTACCAAAATGTGACGTATAAATAACAATGTTCACTTTTTGTAAATCATGTTAAACACACTGTAGGTTGGCTTATTTAAAAAAAGCAATATGTTTCTAGGTTGGCTTATTTAAAAAATGACGTTTTTTGACATTTTGTTTCCTTATACATTCTAATAATTGCATGAAACACACGCTAAAGGTTCCTCATCATAGCACAATATCGCAAAACTATTAATAAGTTAAACGATATTACTGATGCACTTTTGGTATAAAACAAAAATATTTCAAACTATGAACGCTAAACGTTTTAAACCATCGGCAGAAGATAGCGCAATATCCACCCTAAAAATCAGAGACGCGTGGAACATAGAATCAAAAATACGCCCGAAATCAAAGGAACTTTCCACAATGTTTCTCTAACACTAACAACGCGTGAAATCTTATTGAGAGCATCAAAGAGATCTAATCCTCGAACTAGCGACATCTATAGAAAACCCACTGTATACCGTTCAGGATGGGGTGTGATTTCGAACTGTTTGCGTCCCCTACATCGCCTGGAGCATTGTTCACCCCGAGAGATGCGGCCAATATTATCTGCAACGATTCGAGAGCTCGAGGCACTCTGATGAGCTTGCCGTGTTAATTATGAGGATATCTGACCTCTTTTGGATCCACCAGGCGACCCTTGCTCATTTTAAACATATTTTAGAAAAAGCGACCATAGTTTTTTAACTTTGAAAATAAATCTCAACGGTTTACTGTCCGTGCTCTCCCCTTAATTTCAGTATAATCGAGCAACCTAACTTTAGATTTTAAATGGCGCCGTGGCGCAGTTGCTAAAATACTGACTTCGTCATCGGGGGTCTTGGGTTCGATTCTCAGACGGGACAACTGTTGAAAATTGCATTTCTAGTTGAAGATGGTGAGTGAAGTTGCTCGAACCACTGTGTAGTCTAACCCTAGGATCCCCTAATACTGTATGTCGGCATATGTGACACAGATTTGAGTTATTACTAAATAATAATTTACTAATATATATTTTAAGAATGTAAAAATGCTTACACGTTTCACACAAAACTACATCCCTACTAATTTTATTAATGTGAATGTAAATTTGTTTGTTACGCTTTCACGCCAAAACTATTCAACCGATCATCAAGAAACCTTGTGCACATATTCTTAGAGGTATTTAAGAGACATAGACATGTTTATAACAAAAGAGATGATTTTGAACTTAGCTAAACCATGCAGTATGTATTGTAATGCAGTTATCAGATATTATGTATTTTATTAACTATGTTTTTTAATATAATTTGTTACAGGCTATGGCACCAACTCGCTATCGGCTATGTCGAAATCGACACTTGACGCGCACACACATCTGCGCCAACCAGGTCAGTATAACTTACTACTAACAGTGTTTCTAAATTTATTTATTTTTATATAATAGGTAATATCTGGAACTACAAACCGATTCTAACGATAGTCAAACTGTAGACATTTATTTGAAAGCAGTTTTTTTTTTAACATTGAAAATCGCGGGACTATAGTACAAGTCAGGAGGAAAACGTCAAACATGTTATAGTATCCATGCAACCGTATGTATGAATTTTTCTTCTACATTCTCATATTTTAATAATAAATTTAAAAAAATTAAGATATATATTTTTGGTACCCTAACACAGATTTAATCTCATAATATCCCTGAATATCAATGTTTCTGTGAGAATACTATGTTCATGCAGCCCCCAGCATAATTCCCCCAAAAGCCTAACAAAACATACCGGATATTATGGTCTCATAAATCTCCCTCATAAATTGTCTGCTCTTTTTAACCAACTTCAAAAAAGGAGAAGGTTCTCAACTCGACTGTATTTCGTAAATTTACATATGACTTGCTAATACTAGCAATATAATACTATTACCTCGGTAGCGCGCGCCAACACAAGTTACAAAATCACATCGCCGAACTGCCACCGTTGTTCAAAATGAATCTCAGGGGCACGGTTAAACGAACTATAAATATTTTTAAAGCAACCGGCGCTCGCAAACAAGAGTAGCCCACATCTTCGAGCATCTGTTTGTTGTCCACGGTCAGTTAGCTATCGCACATAGAGCGTGTTTGTTCCCCTGCGCCCGTCACGGTCCTATATCACGTACGGTTGGGGCCCGTGCGAAATTTAAAAGTCAAACATGCATGTAAATTCGCGAGTTCGTTTTTCAATTCATACATTTTCCTTCATCAGTTTCAATATCCACAGATAATCTTATCAAGGCTCCTCTTATGCACAGACAAGCCAAAACAATCTGCCGTAACGCGTCTGTATTTCTTTCGGCATTTATTCCGAGTGGCGCTAATACACTTGATACACTTGAATCGCCGCCTCGCTCTTGTCTTGTCCGATTTTCCCCAACGGCTAATGAAGAGATTTTCATTAAGAGTTCGCCCCCAACAGTCCGGGCGTTAACTTCACCCCACTTGTCCAGCAACGTGACTAATTTCACCAATACCACTGCTATAATGCGAACGGTAGATGAATGGACATAGTTGAATGTTATTCGGCTATATTATCTTCTCCATTGGCTGACTATGTCTTACCTAATAATTAATTGATTCGCTTTTTTATTGAAATTATTTAGAGTTCTTTTAGAGAGATCTTTTATTTTTTTTATTTGTCAGCAGCTACTAATGTAGTTACTGTATTTAGAGAACAATCTCAAAAAAAAAATGTCTCGTAAATGTAAGGCCACGGTTGAAACTTGTCATATTGCAAAAATTATAGTGCACTTCACATATACTATACTTTGGGCGGGTTTAATAAAACAAGGTGTCATGCAGCCTTTTTTATAAAATGACAATTAACATTTATAATACCAAAAAGCTTACACAATTATCATAATGCTGTTAAAGATAGACTCTAAGAAGCAGGAGAACAAAAATCGCACTCGGCATCGATCTCCACTATTTTGAAGCCTAGGTGGGATCCGGATCCTGAAATCCTTTATTTCATTTTGCAAACCATGCCCCGTCTTAAATTTCGAGTCGAGCCAAAATCCCCGCGCGGTAACAGGCATTGAGGCGTACGACAGTAGGTCTTCTCTATTTCATTAGAAAGCGCCGAATGCGTGTTTGCGCTTGTGTCGGCCGCGTGCCGATATCGTTCGGGGCTCACGTTACATGGGGTCGGCAGATGTGCACACAGCGAGTAGGTACAACCAAAACGTCGAACATACCACATCAACGCTGACCTTTGTGATTCCAATCGAACTGTGCAATTCCTGTTTTAAAGTACCCAACTGCCGATTACACAACGATGGTAGGTCGACCTTTTCTCGTCCAATGTTTGGATCGTAGTGGAAAACTCTATCTAACATCTGTGGCAGGTCGCGCACCATCCTCATCTACTATACAATAACAGGCCTTTGTCCAAACTATAGTATCAAAACTTTAAGCCTGGGGTGTACGCTACCGAGTGTTTCTGTATGTGCAACCCAAGAGCCAAATAGAGCCTTGGTGTACGCGGTGTTACCGTAATTTGCGAGTCACTAGAGCCATACGTCGTCGCGTTTATTTCATAGAACGCTATTCGTTTATGACTCAGTCCACGTCATTAAATGTTCGAAGTGCAATTTCGGATGTCGTACTAACAAACTCTCGAAACTTGCACATGTAACTCGAGAGCGTGGCAGCTTGAGCCTTCCGGTTGCAACGTTGTTAAAACGGCTCGCGGCGCGTTGTACGCGGCGTTACGTGCCCGCACGCACTCGCATGTCTCCGCTTCATTCCGTTCGAGTTGCGACGAGGCGTGTTCTAAGGCGCCTCGGCTCGACTAGTCGCGCTACATTTTCACTGCCACCGCGACACGGGAGCTGCCATGTTTATAGCCGGGCGACATGATCGATGCCAATTGCCCCTACCGTCGTTTCTCGACGTAAAAGAGTTTGGTTAAGGTGGAAACGACTAGTGAACAGCTAGTTATTGTGTCCAAAATTAAACGAGGTACGTCGTGAGAATCGGGTAACATCGCCCTTTGTAAAGCTGTCACGTCAAAACCGAAATAGACTTTAGTCGTCATAAACAAATGTTAGAAACAGATTAAACTAATGATTAGTTTTTAACAGATCGGCTTACAAACAAATAACCATGTTGTTTCTTTAATTTCTGCAGGGATATACTATAGAAGTAAATCCGCTTTACTATTGAATGCGGTTGCACTAACATTTAGATATCAACCAAAGGATAATTATTCAAACCCGTATAATGACTAAATTGTCAACGGGGCTGACAGCTTACCGTCAATGACTCTTTGTTCCTTTAAAATAAAAAATGACATTAGATGAAGAAAAAAACTTGTAAACTACGGAACATCGTGTATATGTGGTATGAAATATGCCTTCATCCACTTACACACCTAAGCCGGACGTCAGGCAAATCGCGGGCGTGTCGTCCCACGCGGCCACCGCAAGCAAATGGGAAGCACTTAAACAACGACACGTCAGCGGTGACGATTGACAGCGTTGTAATCGCTCCCGTGACGCGGCCTCATAAAACAGTCGCGCCCGCCGCTTCGCAAGTCAAACACGCCAGCGCAAACAGGGGCCCGAAAGGCGCCGATTTTCCCGGCCGTGGGCTTTTAAGTAAACGGCGACCTCCCCAGTAAACTCTGTGGAAGAGACGCCCAGTTTCTGAAACACCGATCATCGTAGAAGAATCTCAACTAATCATATGTCAAACGGCTTTTCAAATGTTATTTGAGTTGCCAAAAGGATTGTTAAACTCTTTGAATTGGTGAGAGATTTAACAATTCATTTGGCAACTCAAATAACATTTGAAGAGCCATTTGACGGCTGATTAGTTGACATCTACGATGATCAGACTTTCAGAAACTGGACGAGAGTCTATTTCCCACTTTCCATGACTCCCCATATATGGTTGTGGCGTTTATTCGTTTCTTTAGTAAAGTTTGCCTTCGAACTCACTTTGTTACCGTTTCGTGTATTATTGTTATTGACACGTTGATTTTTCGTACTGTGCCCGTGTAGTTAATTACCCATTTAATCATTTATCACAATCAAATACATAGGTAATCATTATTGGACATTTATCTAACTTGTGATTCGCTCCCACTTTTCTCAAGCGCAATAATTTTTTGCTCTCAATGCCTCTCGTATACAACAACATATAAATTTGATATGTGTCAATTTTCGCTCTTATATAGTTTATACCTATCAAGCTTCCGTCTTCTGAAGAAAAGCTTTTATTAAGCCGACAATCCCCCATTGTCGATTTGTCGTGCCACTGCGAAGATTTACTTAGGGTTGGTTGTTCTGCAAGAGAAAATAGGCGGCAAACAAATACAATTTTTAATAAATAATAGATTAAAAATTTAAAAAAACTATTTTAATTGCAATTCGAAACAAAAGTAGAAAATAACTTATAATTAAGAACAGTTTTATACATATAGTCCAAAAGTTGATAAAGTAAAAATTAAGTTAGACAAAAAATATAATTTCAAAAAGCGTGATTTAAGATTGGTATAATTAATATAGTTCTAATTCAAATGTTATTGTTATTATCTACGACAAAAGTTATTAATAAAGAAAAATATAAAATGAATATTCATTGCTGTTTCCTTTTTTTTCTTTAAATACAATACGACCTTTTTAAACAATATGTCAAAATTCGAGTCCACTGAAAGTTGGCAACCATGAGCTTAGCCGGCGGCAGTTGGCACACCAATCACTGAGCGTCCCCGGTCGCTGGTAATGCACAGAAATCTATTAATTATCCGTTTATTATTATTTTATTGCCATTGGGGACGCTGACGCATTGTCTGCCTGCCACATTCTTCACGGATACCGAACGCGGACGCTCTCGTACAAAGCGAAGTGGAGAAAGAGGCCGTTGTTCAGAACGTTGCAACGTCACGAAGTAAATGGCGTTATGAATGGCGCTGTCAAACAATGATGCCATAATACTGGACGGACCATTACTCGCATGTCGCAACTTTAAGCAACGCAAAGCTAAGTAATTCTTTTTTATGTTAATTGATAACCGCCCATGGACATTTCCAACAGCCGTAGGGTTGCAAATGTTTAGGCCGGTATTCTGTGAGGTACTTACCATCCGGGACCTGTCCATTCGTGCAACAGTGAACACTGTTGTGTACCCACACCACGGTTAAATATATACACTTAATACTATATTTAATTTAAAAGTAATTTACTATTGTAAAAATAGCAAGGACACACACAGAAAATATAATGTCTCTTAGTCAATGCTATAGATATAGATTTTTATAAAACTGGCATTTCATAATATTAATTACGATATTCTTACAGATTTTGGCATGTTTTTTAGGACTTTTATTGTAGTATGTTTAAATAGGTCATC